AAAACTCTCCTTCACAATGTCCCCTTACTGTGCTGCATTTCATTAACTGTGCATGCCTGTGTGTCTCCTCTAGAGTGGACAGGCACCTACTCACCTGTGAGAAGGTGCAACAGTGTGTCTTGCAAGTATTTGAGGAAACCAGGCATCATAGGATGTGTTCCTAAACTTCCCCAGCTTTGGTCCACTGCATTTTCTCCATTGTGACCTCTCTGCCTGCTGCCCTCTGAGCTCAAGACTGCTTGTATCATCTCTGCTTCCCCAGTTGCCACAGAAAATCGCAGGGTAAGACCTTCCTGACTCCCTCAATTTTACCTGTGTTGTTGTGCTTCAAAGTCAGATCCTCATGCTGGCTGGCATGTGTCATACCCAGTAAGTCATCTCCTAAGCACTCCCTCTCCTCCACTGCTGAGGGTCCAGGGCAGATTGGGGCATCATTGGTTTCCCAGGCCAATATCTCAACAGGAAATCTGTATTAGCCTCCTGAGTGTTGGCACTGGTGCCCCTCACCCCGTTGACCACACGATCTTTGGTCATCATTCTTGTCTTCCACTCCTCTGGTCCATCTCAAGTATTATCTCCTCTGCCTGGATATCAAGCTTTCCTTTTGTGTGTGTAGGCTGTGTGACTGTAGAACCATCTTCCTTCCAAGTCTTCCCTGGTCCTCTCCTGGGACTGTAAGTTCCCTACCATCCTACATCCAACCTTCACATCTGCATCTGTGGTATCCTGCAGCTGTCTATGCATAAGTTGGTGCTTTGTGGCATGGTATAGATTATAATTCAAGTATGTCACTCACCGCTCGGAATAAAGGGAGTAACTTCAGAGGCTTTCGGAAGTCTCCTCTTGCAAGTGATCTCCAGTGGATGCGGGGCCGTTAATGGACTTGACCCCGAGGGTCAGAGGTCCTAGGACCTGATGGCCTAGGTCCTTTTTGGCAGGTCGCACCAATCAGCCTCTTAGGAGAAAGATTCATGATTGTCATGCAGGAAATAAATTTTGTCAATAAGGTCATTCCGTTAGTTATTTTTTTCTGACCTTCTTTACTCTAGATTGTGATAATTAAATCCCTTGTTGTTCTATGTTTATCATTACCCATTACTTGTGACCTTTACCCCTTCTTCCTTGTGTATAGAATTCATTTTCTACCCACCTTTCTGGAACACACAACATCAGTGTAAATATTCTGAATAGTAAAGGGTGTTCTGAAAGAACAAAGCCTCCATATAGTGTCCAGGTTTACTCTATTTTAAAGCATTTTCCTCTCCATTCGTGCATACATCTCACATGTATTTGTTTTTAAGCCTGTCACTCTCAAAGATGGAGTCAATTTTATCATTAGTTCAATGTCATTTTTTGTATCATGTGTTTTGTAATCTGTCATGGCTACTCACGATCATGAAATGCCATTCAATGTTGTCCATTGGAATCGGAGCTCTTTTTCACACCCTCTTTGTCAAGTCTGAACTCGTCTTGGTACCTCTAATGGATACCCCAGGACTTCCACTCCTGTTAGTCCTCACTGACCATCTTTTCTGAGTCAGGTATCTTTTCTGTGTGTACTTTGGGCTAGATGCATAGAAACTTCTAGTTATTCTCCCATCTGTACTATCTCACCACAAAAGAACTGGTTTACGAGTCTCTCTCAGCTCTTACATGTGTTTGGGGGGACTTAAACTCCAGTTCCTCAAGCTGGTTGTGAAAGGACTTTTTGTGCTTCCAACCATCTCTCCCACAGTCTCCATCCCTTGTGTTTGAAAGTCCAGGCTAGTCTGGAATATCCTCTATTTTCCACACTTTCCTTGAATTAGCACAGCTTCTGCCTGCAGCCTCTGAGTGTTAAAATTCTTACCCCACTCTCTCACATACTACCTTTGTACCCCATTTCGATATAACTTTGGACTTCCCTGCCTGTCAGGTAATCCCTTCTTTGTGTTGCATTTCCCACATGTCCTTTATCTCCTCTCCTGCAGCTCTAAGGTCTTTACCTCTCACTAAGTAGTCTTGCAGGTGTCAAGGAAAGTTCGTGCAGGGACATAGGATACATGTTGTCAAGTGTGTAACTCACCTCAAGGGTTAGGTGATGGTAACGTGGAGGCTCTGGAGAAAACCACTGCTGAGGAGATCTTCTTGGTGTGGGTCCAGTAAAGCACTTGGCCACAAGGGCCAGAGGCCCTGGAACCTGATGTTATTGGTCCCTACTGTCCACACACAACAACAAGCCTCCTAGGAACAAATATTTGAAAAATTCATTAAGTATCTTAAATCTGTCACATCACCCATTTTTATTTTAAAAATTATTTTGTAACTTTTATGTGTATGCATATGTATGTGTGCACACATGCCACAGTACATATTCAGAGATCAGAAAACATCTTGCAACAGTTGGTCCTCTCTTACCACTTGCATCTAGGGACTCAAACTTAGGTCATCAGGCTTGACAGCATCACTACTCACTGAGACATCTCTGCTCCTGTTGCCCAGTTTGTGTAGTGTTTTTGTGTTTGAAACCTTAGTTTCTTCTCTGTCCTGTGTATGTGTATACATGTCCCTATACACCATCATTTTCATGCATGTTGTGATCAGAGTAGGACATTATATGTCATCCTTTATTGCTTATGTTTTGTATTTTTTGAGATGAGGTTTCTCTATGTAGCTTTGTAGACCAGGCTGGCCTCAAACTCAAGAGATCCACCTACCTCTGCCTCCCAAGTGCTGGGACTAAAGGCGTATGCCACCACTGCCCAGCTACACCTTATTTTTTTAAGAGGCCCTCTCACTAAATCTGAAGCTCACTATTTTGGCTAGGCCTGTTTTTGTTCCTCTTTGCTTTATTTCCAGACATGTGTGCCCATGCCTAGTTTTTACATGGATATTGGAGATTTGATCTCATGTTCTCTTGCTTATGCTATAAATTCTCTTAATGCATGAACCATTTTCCCTCCCACCAACCTTGGTTTTACTAGCATCATTTGAATATTATGCAGGGACCCATTTCCTCCCAGCAAATATTCCCTCTTGGAAGTATTAGTTGGTGTGTCTGATTTCCAAGGTTATCTTCTGCTTGTATATTGTCAGCTTTCACCCTTAATTTATGTAAATCTTTTAAGTCATACAGTTGTTACAACAAGACTATGTTTTAGATGTCCTTGTACTTTTCATTTTATAGATTCTAGGTTAAGGTAGTTGATCACACTGCAACAATAAGCGTCAGTCTCTGCGCCTGGGGAAGGATTCATTTTCTTGGTTGATGGAATTGCCCGTGTAAAGGGAGATATAAGAAGGTAGGGGGCCTCTCTTGGTAGCTTGTTTCAGGTGTCATTGGACAAAAATTATGTATTTATGAAAACTATATTCTTTATGGTTTTTGTATGTGTGTAAATCAGTTCTTTCGAGATGCATACCAGAAAATGAAGAGTTCAAAGTTGTTGTACACTATTGGCCAGCCTACATTACATGACACCCTATCTCAAAAAATAATAAATAAAACAGCTGGGTGGTGGTGGCACACATCTTTAATCCCAGCACTCGGGAGGCAGAAGCGGGCGAATCTCTATGAATTTGAGGGCAGCCGGGTATACAGAGTGAGTTCCAGGACAGAGAAACTGTTTCAAAAACAAACAAATAAATAAATAAAATTGACTAGATGTACTGCCCTCATGGCAGTTTAGTCAACAGTGCAGTCATCTTGAGGATGCAAAAGACCTTTTTTAAGGCATAGCTAAAGACATGTGACAGTTACAATCTAAACAGCCTGCTGTAGTCTTTGAAAGCAACAGTCCTGTGCAAGACAGCCCAAGCAAATATTACATGACCCCAGAGCCATTTTCACCAGGGCTAGAGGAGGATGCTATTCCCCTCCCCTAGTCTCCCAGAAGGCCTATGGTTCAAACTCAATCCTTCATTTGCATTATGGACTATATCATGATTGCTACAATACAGTTGCACTACATACACTTGCTTGGCTAAGCTTTTCCGGTGTTTCATGTAGCCCAGGATGGTCCTAACCTGACTGTGTAGTTGATGACCTCCTCCCTAGTCTGTCTTCATCTCCCACATGTTCAAATCACAAATATGGAAACCTCACTAGTCTTGGCTAATGTTAAGTCAGTAGGCTGCTACCATCCTTTTATCCCATAATTTTGCAATGTTAGGCCCATAAATCTTTTGCTATATTTAATTTTTATAAGTATGGCAGTCCTGAGGTAGCAATATGAAGAGTAGACTATGGGTTAGGTTCAGGGCATAGAACCATAAGCTTATGAATCGCAAGACTTAGATAATCCAGACTAGCTCATATTTTGAATTTGGGGTTCCAGGTCAACTAGCAAACAGCAAACCAGTGACTTCTCACCTACTCACCATTTCATTTTTTTCCTTTTCTCCTCTATCTTTCCTCTTTCCCTTTTTCTGAAACTGTAGTTCAAAGCTCTCATTAAATGGGCTATATACCCCAGACTATCTACAACTCTTGACTCACTTGCTTTCAAGTCAATCAATTCCTAGTCTTGGGATTAATGATATGATCCATCATACCAGGCTCCCTACTCATGATATTTGAGTAAGACAAAAGAATCAAACCTAGGTGATTTTTAAAATTTATATTACATGGATGTGTAGTGTTCAGAAATACAAACTAGGAGAGCATTCTGCACACGGTGCTTACTTTTGGAGCATAAAGACTGAAATTAGGTGTGATAGGGTAGGCTCTCTGAAAGAGTCTGCAAGAGCAGTAGAAGATGAGGCCTGAGTCCATGGCCGCCTGGTATATGCGACCCTTGGTTGCCGCCCCAAAACGACACCACTAAAATCTTCCAGCCAGTTCTTGCCCAAGTGAGACCAACCAAGTCTTCCCTACCGGAAGTGGAGGGGGCGGCGGCGGCGGAAGTTCTATCTCCATCAGGGACAAGAGGCCAATGCAGAACTTCCGCTCGGGGAGGAGACACTTCCGGTTAGTGCGCCCAGCCCCAATCCTATGGGTGCCTGGTAGGGGCCTGAGCACAGTGCGCCTGCGGGCTGTCCCTGCATCCCGCGCGCAGTGGGCGTTACTAACGGACAACTCCTGACTCCAGGATCTCAAATACAGTGATGCTTCGGGAATTGTGGACCCTCTTGCCCGTTATTGACTAATCCCCTCGGACCCAGCCCCTGGTGATGGTGAAGGGACCGGGTTGTGAATCTAGATAGCTTGAGCTGTGGCTCTAGCTAAGGACCGCGCGAAGCATGTTGGAGAATGTCTTCGCAGCTCACCTCAGCACAGATTCGCTGACTTGACAGTCGAGTAATATCGATCTGAAAAAAAAAAAAAAAAAAAAAGACAGTTGGTGCAAGGTTAATTTGAACCAAATCTCCTAGGAGCCAAGACTAAAGGATAAGAGCTCACCAAAGGAGATTACAATCGGGGGTACGAGTTCCTGGGAACCTGCTGTTAATACGCCAGCGTATTTAATGTCACGTGGAATCTGCAAATTAGGTACCTCTGATCTTCTCCCCAAAAGAAGGACCGTGGCACAGGTTAAGTAAACTTCATCCTTATTCACCAACGTGTGCATGTGCGTGTGCGTGAATTATAATAAAAATTTTTAAACCTTGACTAAAACTGATATTATTTAAGGACCCACTATTATAATGGTACTAAAAGTAAAGGGTGTTTTTGGGTTTTTTTACCCCTCATTTATTTTGAGATGAGGTCCTGCTGTGAACAGGCCCTACACTTGCATTGCTCCTTTCTTTGCCTCACAATGCTGCAATTACAGGTCTGAGACACCATGCCAGCTTCCTTTGTTGGTTTTTCTTTTTTCTTTTTTCTTTCAGACTAGATGCCCTTTAGCCCAACTAGCCTTAAACTTGGTACTTAGCAGGTGCTGATCTTGAAACCCCTCAACTTTCATCCTATTTAGGTGCTGGGAATACAGGATTGTGCTAGCATGCCTGCCTAAGTTTTCATGTTAAAGCTTTGCCAGAAGCTTTGTGTGAAAAGTTTGTTATTTTCCTTTTTTAAACAACTAGCTTGTAATGACATGTCCTTTGCCTCTTGTCATGACATTAAGACCTCAAAGCTGAAAGGACAGAAACTGGAACAACAAATTTCCAGCACTTGACTGTGGAAATCACTATGCATGATGTCTTGGTTGACTCAAGGAATAGCAAGAATCAGTTTCAGTGAGGATTCCTTATTTACCTTTGGGGAAATGATGAAGGCAAGTCAGGTATGGTGGTACAGTCTTGTAATCCCAGCACTTGGGAGACTGAGGCAGAAGGATCACTGACTTAGAAGCTAAACTGGACTACCCTCTATATTCTAGACCAGCCTGGGCTATAGAGTGATACCTTGTGTCAGAAAATTGAAAGGAAGAAAATATTTAAAAAAAAAAACAATAGAAGTGGTGGGGATGTAGCTCAATGGTAGATTGCTTGCCTAGGTTAGGCAGAGGCCCTGGGTTAGGATCACTAAATCAAAAGGAGGAGGAAAGAGCAAAAGTAGCTGTGCTCACCTGTCAAGTCAAGCTGAATCTGAGCTAACTGTCACTGTGTAGGGTTAGAGGGTTCTAACCCTGATGACATCATAAGCGTTGCTTAGTAGCAAGTAAACAAAATTTTTACTGGCTGGCCCGCATGCCATCATGATGCTTGAAATACAGTTTAACTTATCTTCCTGTGTCACAAATTACCCTTAAACAAATACTTATTTACTTGAGTCTCTAAAAGTCCAAAAATTAATGATGTTTTTCTTCCCTTAAAAGAGAGATGAGAGGGACAAGATATCTACCATTGTGTCTTTTGAACCCATCTTAAAGCCACATAGTATCCATTCTGTGACAGGGATCACACAGACTAATCTCAACAGAGGGAGAGGGAACTTGGCAATCGTGTGACAGCCAGAAGTGACTATTGGTAGGAACCATCTTGAAGGATAGCTACGTTCATTTCCCAAACCCTGATTTGAAAGCACACCCACTCCTCTCAAGTTTATTGGCTATCTGCATCTTTTCAGAACTGGCTGATCATTTCATTAGCACATTCATTGATTGGGTTGTTTGAATTAACTGTATATATTGTAGAGATAAATCCCAAGTCAGATGTGTAGATTTTCTCCCATTCTGGAGGCTGTCTTGATTCCTTTTGGTGTATAGAAGTCATTTAGTTTCCTGCAGTCATGTTAATTGTTAGCAGTATTTCTGAGTGATTGGCATTCTTATCAGAAAGTTCTGGCCCATGTCTTATCATGTGTATCCTACTTGATAGTTTCAGAGTTAGTCTTATATCAGGCTCTTTGGTCCACTTTGAGTAGGGAGAGAAGACACAGATATAGTTTCATTTGTCTACATGTGCAGAGCTAGTTTCCCCAACACTATTGAAAGACAGTTTTCCCCAGTGTATATTCAGGCATCTTTTATAAAAATCAGTTGACATATAGGCCCATGTCTCTAGTCTAGTCAGTTATCTAAGTGTCTGTTTTGTGCAAGTGCTGTACTGTTTTGTTAATATGACCATACCTCCAGCATTGTTCTTTTTGCTCAGTGTTGCTTTGGTATGTAGGGTGATTTTATTTTTATTTATTTGTTGATTGATTGATTGGTTGTCTCATATTGTCCATGCTAGCCTGGAACTTGCTGAGTAGGCAAGGATGACTTAGAGCTCCATATCCTCCTGCTTCTCCCTCCTGAGTGCTAGGATTTCAGGAATGCACCACCTATCTGGTTTTATGTGGTACCAGAGATTGAACCCCAGGTTTCCTGCATACTAGTCAGACACTCTACCAAGTCACATCCCTGGCACTCTTCATTTTTTTTGAGACAGAGTCTCATAGTGTAGAAGAGGCTAGCCTGAAATCCTTTCTTTGCCATAGCTGGTCTTGAGCTCTGCAGTCCTCAGGCTCCAGCCTCCTAAGTGCTACCACATTTGACCTTTAAAGATATTTTTAGAGATGATATCTCATTATGTTGCTCAGGCTAGTTTTAAATCCCTGAGTGCAAGTGATTCTCCTGCCTCAGCCTGCTGAGTAAGTAGCTGGTACTACAATATAATGGTACCTCGCCCAGCTTATTCATAATTGAAGTAACAGCTTAAAAGAAACCTCCTCAGTTGGGTTTGTCTGCTGTGCTTGCTCCTCTGTCTCTTTTTTATGGTATTTATGCATACTAGTTCATTGCAGGCAGGAGGTATGGTTAAACAGATCTTAATCCATAGCTCAGGGCGGCTCAAACTTGAAATTCTAGCTTGTTGTTATACCTCAGGCCTGAAAACCCAGTACTTAGAAGGCTGAGACAGGAGTTCATTATAGTCGAGCCACAGCCTATGGCTTACATAGTAACTTGTATCCATTCTGAGCTAAAGCTATGAGACATTACCTCAAAATAACAACAGATAAACAAACAAAATAACAGACAATTCAATGAACTCATGATCTTCTTGACTCAGCCTTCCACATGCTAGTGTTACAGGCAGATACTAAGCTACATGCCCAACTAGCTTACTAACAAGCCCCCTTGTGTTTTTTGTTTTATTTATTTATTATTTTTTTTTCAGGTATCTTTGGATGGCCTGGAACTCATCGAACAGTCTGGCTTTGGACTCATTGGCAGTTATATTGCCTCAGCTTCCAGAGTGCTGGGGTTATAGGCATGTGCCACCATGCACAGCTCTGTTCTGTATTTTGAGACAGGGTCTCACTTTCTAACCTCACTGAGTTACAGCAGCAAGCCTCCTGCCCTGACTGGGTTTTCAGGTGTATATAACCCAACTTTCTGTATCTTAGGATGTTTTGGCATTTCCCAAAGCTTGAAGGCTTGGGGAAGACTTAATGCTTTTAGGGCAGGTCATTATTTGGGGTCACACAACACACACACACACACACACACACACACACACACACACACACACCCATGCTCTCTACCAGGGGTGTGGCTATCCTGCAGGAACAAAACAACCAGTCCTGAGTCTGTATTCCCAACAACTTCCTGATTTAAATCTCACACTCAAACCAGTTTTTCTCTTCCCCTAACTCATTCAGGGGCAGGTATCAGGCAACTAGCCACAACTTCTAGACCTAAAGCCACTGAACTATTCCAGTTTGCCAGTGCTGAGCAGCTTGTTATGCCCAGGTGTGCCTTTTCTTCAGCAATGCCAGCCAAGACTCTACCTCAGTCTTTCCCCCATATTGTACTTTGTTGTTTTGAGAGCCCAAGTTACTCTGCAACTTTCCACGTAGCTTCCTGACCTTGAACTTGTGATTCTCCTGCATCAGGCTCCTGAGTGCTGAGACTGTGAACACCTGCACACTAAGCATTCTCCCATCAACCTGTGTTCTACTAATTAGTACATGAGTAGCCATGGGCCATCCCCTCTCTGGGTGGGATCTGTGACTGTATAACCATCTTCCTTCCAAGTTTCCTTCTGATCCCCTCCTGAGGTTGTAAGATCTTTACCAACCACCCTTCAACATCTGCATCCTTAAAAAGAACAGATGTCTAGGAAAGGGGCTGTGGGGCATAGGATAGATGATAAGCCAAACGTCTGAACTCACCTTGAAAAAATAGATGAAAGAAACTCGGAGACTATTGGGTATTCTCCTCTTTCTGTGGAGATCCTCTTGGTGGGGGCCTGGCAGCAGGCTTAACCACAAGAGTCAGAGGTCCTGGGACCTGATGAGTTGGTCACTACCTGTGGCACCAATATGCCTCCTAGAGACAAGGGAGGGGTTATTAAGAAAGGATACTAGGGGCCAGAAAGATGACTCAGCAAGTAAACCCTGATGATGACCCAAGTTCTAGCCCCAAGACCCACATGTTAGAACAAGCTGACTTCTCCAAGTTGTTCTCTGATCTCTTGTGTACTGGCCTGCATGCCTACATGCACAAGATAAATGGATGTGACTTAACATTTAAAGTAAGGTCATTAGGACTGAGGAACAAACACAGGTGGCAGAGTGCTACCCTGATGTACAGGAAGCTGCGGGTTCCTTCTGTCAAAACTACGGAAAAGAAGGGTGGCTGGTAGCTCAGTGCTGTACTACACTGCTATGCTGTATGGATAGAGACCATGAAATGCCATTAAAGGCTCTCCCTCAGAATCTCTGCTCATTCTCATTCTTTTTAGTCTCTGTGTTTATAGAAATGGGGGTGACACATGACATGGTGCATTATGCAGGCCACAGGGCCTCCTTGGGCATTGGTTCTTGCCTTTTACCTTATCTTGAGGCAAGGTCTCTTGTTCTCCTTTGCATATACCAGGATGCCTGTCCTCTCACAGTAGAAGAGCTGGGAGTACTGATGTCACTATTCTACTTGCTGGGATTGAAGGCCCACATTACCACATGCTGGGTTTGGCCCTCATTATCTTCTGCCACTTAATCCAATCTAGGACTTCCCACTGACCCTGCCTGCCATGAATTAACCCTCTCTGTGGGACCTGTGGCTGTATAACCATCTTCCTTCCAAGTCTGTTACAGGTCCTCTCTTGGGATTTTGAAATCTTTTACCATCCCATCTCCAACATCTGCATCCTGATTATATACACTGCAGGTGTCAAGAAAAGGGACTGGGTGAGGCATAGTACAGACAGCAAGCCAGGTACCTAATTAACCTCAAGAAATAGAGGGAAGAGACTTGGGGCTTCTTTTTGGAGGGAAGTAATGGTGAGAAGTAATGAAGGAAAATGACCACTAAGGTCAGAGGTCCTCTGACAAGAATGACCTCAGTGACTACTAGAAGCATAGCTCAGACTCCTGGCAGCAAAGGTTCAGGACTGTTCTTAGAATGAAGGGACCAGTTCCCCATTTTGGCAGCTATAACAGCCGAACACGTACTTGCCTGAGCTTGTCTTGGTCACTAGGAGGTCAGATGCCTGCCCCTTTTGGCAGCCATGACAGTAACACATGCTTGCGCTGACATGGCCTTGGTCACTAGGAGGTTAGGTGCCTGCCTCGTGGCAAGGAACCAATCAGAAGTTAGCTGGTGGTGCTATGCTTTACGGCTCTGGGTGTGCTTTACAGACAAGTGCACAGCATAGCATAGAAACCACCCTGGGAGGGCCTATGGGCCATAACAACCAGTTGACCAACACAGGGCAAACCCTCCAAGCCTGGAGTCACACTAATCCTGAGCCTGTGTGTACCCCTAGACACTCCACTTACACTGCCCTATAAGATCTCTATGCAGACACTTTCCTAGCCATGGTGGGTGGATGAAAGACTCGAGCTAACATGGGGTTAGCTCATTAAACAACTATAATAAAGCCTCGTGCAGTTTGCATCAAGCTTTCAACTCTGTCTGGTGATTGGGGTGACTGCGGTCCTGGGCTGAGATCCTGGGGGGCCTGAGTTTCTGGGGGGTCTTTCAAGAAGAGATAGGAAGGCTGGGGGTGTAACTCAGGGAATAGTACTTATCTATTTTGTCTAAAGCTGTGGGTTTTAAGTATGGTCACTCATGCCTGAAATCCCAGCTCTTGGGGAGGTGGAGGCAGGAGGCACAAGGTCATCCTGTGCTACACTGCAAGGTAGAGGTCATCCAGGGCTACCTGAGTCCCAATCTCAGAGAACTCTAAAGAAAAATCAACAAAACAAAGGGGATTGCAAAAGGGTGCTCAGGATAGTTCCAGAACCCAGATCCTCTAACTGCTGCTCCCTCACCCCAGTCTCTCAAGGCCAGCTACAGAGACCTGCTATGTCCTGACAGCTCTTAAGGAGTTCCTTTTTCTCTATCCCCATTACAACTGGAAGCCCAGTCCCTCGGATGCCCAAACAACCTTAAATTAAATGATGGAAAGCAACACCCTCTTCTCCCATTGTTCTCTGGAACTGAACTGTCTCTTTCCCTTCAGGGTCCCCATCATGCTCTCTTTCCTATGATCTCCCAATCATGGCTCTTCTGTCCATGAGCCTGTGGCTCTCCCTATATAATTATTTTTTATTTTATGGGCATTGATGTTTTTCTTGCATGCATGACTGTGTGAAGGTGTCAGATTCCCTGGAACTGGTGTTAGACAGTTGTGAGCTTACCATATGGGTGCTCAGGTCCTATGGAGGAGCAGCCAGCACTCTTAATGGCTGAGCCCTCTTTGCAGCTCCAGGACTGTATTTTGAACTGATTCTCCTGCTTTAACCTTTAGACTGGGGCTATTGGGGAATGTCACCCTGCTTGCTTTTGGTTGTTTTATTGGAAACACTGTTTCACTTTGTATCCCAGACTGCCCTGGAACTCACAGCAGGGAAGTGCTGGACTTAGAACAGGGATACATACTATCACCCTTGACTTTATTTTAGGATGTTTTCACATATTTCAAAGCTTTCAGATCCAGTTGTGTTCCCTACCTCTACCAGGGTTACTGATTCTTGGGAATAGAATGAACTCTCAACCAGGAGCATATCTTTCAACTACAAACCAATCCAGAGTCTACAATGGAAAAACTAATTTCCTGTGTAACCTAAAACAATAGGTTAACAACTTGGTGTATTCAGGGCCAATAAAGCCCTGCCAGTGTAGGAATGAAGTTTAAGAAATGTTAAATACCAGTCTTTTATATGAAATATTGTAAAACTAGTGTTTATGACAAAGAATTCAATCTTTTTGTATCTTCCACCTGGGAAAAGTTTTATGCAAATGTTTTGATCCCTCCTCAACCAGGTAGAATATTTTTTACATAAAGAGACTTTAGTGACAGACCTCTTCCAGTTTACCCTCATTTCATTTGCTCTGATTTGTTTTCAACTAGTCAGTCAAAAAAATCGTGTGACTTCAGATCCCAGCCAATGGGGAAAAGGCACAGTCACCACCAACCTTAAGATAAAAATCAAAGGTACTTCCTGGCCCATGTTTACATTTTTCAGAGCACCATTTTGGTCAAGAGTAAAGATTTGCCTTACCAAGATATGTTGGCTTTGTTTGGGTGTCCCTTTGTGTGACCCTGAGAATATTTTTACTGATTTAGGATTGTTCTGATTTACTGATTTACTTGTTCAGGATTTCCAATCCATCTGGGGGAGTGTTCAGATCCCCTTCCTTTGAAGAGATGTCACACTGGCATGTTGTGGTGACAGCTGAGTTTGTTGACTATAGATAGATGTTCCCTCATAGAAAAAGAGCATGAGGTGGGTTACCTCCCAGCTGGTTATATGTAATTCTATCTTAATTTTATGCTGCCTCATGGTTTTGGGGGAGTAACTAGAGTATATAGGCTAAGAAAAAAGGGAGAGGAGACTCCACTTATGCATCTATAGGGAAGCTGTAATATATACTGGGTGAAGACTCCAGTAGGAATAGACATTGCTTAGGGGCCCATGCCCCTACAAGGAAAAGTCCCACAACAAAGGATAAATTTGTTAATGTGATTATGTCTTATGGTATTAAGACAAGAAATCAGTAACTAAGAAAAATATTAGAAGGATATAGAAATGAAATATTTTAGTTAAAAAAAAAAGATTTGTGTGTGAACTTTAAGATAGCTGGATGTTTCCACAATGTAAAAGAAAACTAGAGAGCATATTTATGTTATTTAGGGTATATAAAAGATGAGACTTAGAAAGATGGTATGTATATTAAAGGTAAAGCCCAATATACTGATGTTAAAACTCTGCTTAAATCAATGAAGCTATCAATCTGCTTCTTGATTACAAGAACTGGTTAAAATGTTTCTCTAATCAAAGTTTATTTTGAAGTGTTTGGGTTTTGCCCAAGTTTTATCTAAATACTACACAGTTGTTAAAAGTACCAGACTGGTATACCTGACCTTCTGGGTATTTGTGGTGGTTTGAATGAAAACGGCCCCTATAAGCTGGGCTGTGGTGACACATGTCTTTGATCACAGAGTCTGGCAGATCTTTTTGAGTTCAAGGCCGGCCTGGTCTACAGAGCTACACAGAGAAACCATGACTCAAAAATCAGAAAGAGATAGAGAGAAGATGGCCCCATAATCTCATAGGGAGTGGCACTATTAGGAGGTGTGGTGTGGTGTGATAGAATATTATTTTGATGTGTGTGACTTTTATGATGCATTTGTTTAACTCTGTGAAGCTGTGAGTCTTTGCCTGTCTAAAATACCTGATGGCCTAATAAAGTGCTGAATGGTCAATAGCGAGGCAGGAGAAAGGATAGGAAGGGCTGGCAGACAGAATAAATAGAAAGAGAAATGAGGAAGAGCAACAAAAGAACAAGGAGAGGAGTATGTCAGCAGCCAGCCACCCAGCCAGTCAAGGAGTGAGAGTGAAAGTAAGATACATAAGAAGTAAGAAAAGGAAAAGGCCCAGAGGCAAAAGGCAGTTGGTATAATTTACATTAAGAAAAGCTGGCAAGAAACAAGCCAAGCTAAGGCCAGGCATTCCTAAGAATATGCCTCAGTGTGTGATTTACATGGGATCTGGGTGGCAGGGCCCCCCAAAAGAGCCAAAAACCAAAAGAGTAAAACATCACACAACAAAGTAGCATACCAATGTGGGGCTCAGATATCCATCTAGAGCCTGAGAAAGCTTGAAAAAAGACACAACTCCTTTGAGAGATGCTGCTGTTCAGCCAGCAGTGCTAAACAGAAACTAGAAACAGCAAGCTAAGTACAAACAGCTTTTGACAATGCAGGTACCGGCTTCCATAGCTAGAAAGATTAATGCAGTTCTCAAACCTCTAACTGGGCTATGAGCTTTAGGTTTGGCTTTCCTGAACTGTGAAGTTGGCAGAGCCAGATGATAGAGCAGCATGAGGAAGGTTAGGTGTAGCTTAACCGTCTAAAGTTTCTCGTGCTGTTAAAAAAGACTAGAGATACACAGTCAAAGAGGTCCAGACAGAAAAGAAAAAATAAAACCTCTAAACAGGGTCCAGTGTGTTTTAGAATGTGCATAGACTTAAGAAAGAAAGAAAAAGGGTATGGACAGTCATAGAAAGAAATAGATTAAAAATAATAAAATGGTTAGTGAGAGTAAAAGCAAAAAGCCACGTAAAGATGGGAAATAACACAGGAAGTCTGGATCCTATATAGTATTGTTTGATTTTGAATTTTTTTGACTGCTGAAAAGCAAAGGACAGCTGCTAAGAGACCTGGAATTAAAAGAGGGACTGACGAAATATACTTTAGGAATGACTTAAC